AGTGTGTGTGGAAAATATGGAGGGAAAACAGAGAGAAAAGATGAGAAAGATAGGAAGTAAGGTAGGTGACTTTTTTACCCAAAAGGTAGAGGATTCTTGTCCTTTCAAATTGCATGGGATCTTCATTGATTTTGGATTTGTTTGAAGATTGGTTTTGTTGGGATGAATACAATGATTTGTATGTTGTCATAGAAGATGAAATTAGGTAGGTATGGTATTTGAGAAAAAAGTAGAGATAGTTCCTATTTTTCATAAATGGCGAATTCTCGTTTTGGGTGGTTTGCTCTGGGAATTAATTTGTATACCCATAAAAGCACCAGAAATTAGTGAAGAAGATATGTTAAATTGAAGATGTTCTAATAGTTATGGATGAAAATCTAAGTAAACAAAAAGTTAAACTGTTAAGAGAGATTTGGGTTGTATGGTGTATTTTGTAGATATGATTAATAAGTAAGAACGGTACATTATTTTGTTTGACCAATGTCGCTGGTTTTACTTGGTGGGGAAAAGGCCTTTGTTATTCTAGTTGTGTATGTATGCCCAAATGTTTACCTTAAATTTGTAGCCCATCTTTCTCTAAATATTTAGCAGGTTGTATTGATTCTGGGTATATTGGGGAAAAAAACTTGTAAAATTTGGGATGTTGTGTTTAGTTATCTCTATTTAAGTGTATTCATTAAAATTCAGTGTATCGATAATTAGTTTCTAATATTGGCTAATTCTTCCTCAGGATGGGAAAACATCACAACTTGAGCATGTCTTTATTCGAGGTAGCAAAGTCAGGTATGAATCACAAGTCCTGCAACATCTTTATAACTTTATATTCTAAAGACGGTTGTATAATACAATCATATGTTGGTCATTAACTATAACAATATAATTTTATATTTCTAGTAAGGTTGTATTGTATATTGCATTTTTGTAAGGGCAGTTCTCTGAAGTGACACTGATGTGGCAGGTTTATGGTCATACCGGACATGTTGAAGAACGCTCCTATGTTTAAGCGTTTGGATGCAAGAATCAAGGTACCATCTTATTTAAAAGTGATCAATCTCTCTATATTTATTTAACATTGCTTTTATTTTAATGGCTTGTTTTAATATCTTGAAGGGCAAGGGTGCATCACTTGGTGTTGGTAGAGGCAGAGCAGTTGCAATGCGAGCCAAGGTATTTTACCTTCTTTTTTTGTTCCTAGTTTATCAATACTCATCCTGCCTTAAAAATTGCTTGTTCGATGTCTTGCTATGTACGGAATAGTGGACTATGACTATTATAGAATAAGGAGTTGTGAAATATTGAAAAGGTATTAATTCCCTTATAAATGTATTTAGTACCAATGCATCATGGTGCTAACAAGTAATTTACACTGCGCGCGTTACTCCACCTGGACATGATGGCATCTCTTGGACACATCTCCTAATGTATTCAATAATGCAGCAGAAAGGACAATGTTGATCTGTAGTTAATTCTAATATTGAAAAATGGTTTTTAATATACTTCACTGTTAGAAGTAGAATAGAAACTCCTAGCAAAGTTTACATCTTTTGACTTGTGAATCTTTTTGGTAAAATCCTATTTGTATACCATGATTGGAAGAAAAGATATTTATATAGAGATTAATTACTATGCACTGTCATTGTAAATTTCTTTACACAGATAGTGCATCACAACCATTCATAGATGTTACTTTATAGATGATTAAAATCAAAATGAAACTTCAATTAAAATTTAACGGTCAAGATTAATTGACTGTGTAAAATTTCTTTACACTGTTGGTGTATACCAATTAAATCATTTTATATATAGGAATGATTCTCTTAAATGTTACTTAGACCGCGCTGATAGGATTTTTTTTCCAATCCATATTCTTTTGATCAACAAAGCAGACAAGTTAGCTCTATTTTGTCTTGTTATATTGATGCATATTTCTCATGTTTTTTTAGGTCAAGCAAAATTTTGCTTGGTTATGAAATGTCTATGTATAATAGAACATGGATTGTGCATCTTTTCTATTTACCTGCAATGAAAATGTTTACTTAATACGTTTGTTGATTTATTTGTAGATTTTCCACTTTTCTCTTTACTTATAGGTTTTGACATTATGGATCACGAGATAGATATAAAAGAATCACACCCTTGTTGCACATTTGTTTTACATATTTGGTTTGGTGTCATTGTGAACTTCGACCTGTCTGTTTAGCACATTAAACCTAAATAGTTGAAGGACATATCGTTTTACAAGTTTGGTATAACTATAATGTTATTTGTGTAGGCTCAAGCTGCTGGCCGAGGAGCTCCACCTGGTAGGGGTGTACCACCGGTGCGGAGGTGATCATCGTTCATATAGTCTCTATTTTCTGTGTCTGTTGGAGATGATATTTAGTTCTGTTGTAGAAGTTTGTGATAGAATGAAATTCAAATTTGAACTGCTTATCAAGAATTCACAGACCACTCTTTATGGATGGTTGGTACTGAATGCCAAATTTATTCTCATCCTGTAATTTTGTTGACCTGCTATTATCAACTTTCATAATTAGTTCAAAGATGGTACCAAGATATTGTGAGTTACATAAGAACAGTTTGACAGCTTTCAACCTTTTTATGTCTGTTTACTAAACTTGGTTATTCACTAGCTCTTGATGTTAAAAAGAAAAAAGAAACTAGCTCTTAATAGAGAGAGAGAGAGGGAGAAATTGTTTAGTGTAATACAGCTTTCTTAACCAGCATGCTTCTTGGCGCGATGCGATGCATGCTTTAAGAAGAATAAAGTATTTACATCAGAGCTTCCAAAACTAAGTACCAATGTACATTTTTGTCAAAAATGAGAGTTTGGTTTATATTTTTTAAGGGATTTTCAATTTTCAATACCTCTGTAATTGTGTTCAATTAAAATGACAAAGTGAATAGAGATGATGCTCTTGAAATATGTATAAGCTAAGATGAATTTGATTATGGTATATCCTAGACCACCAAAAACTTTTTATGGATAAGAATTGATAATAATCACTAAAACTCAGACACAGCTTTGAGTTGAGTTTGAAAATTGAGACAATGTTAGTCTAACAATATTAACACGTGCCAAGTTGTTGCTCTTCTGGTGCTTGCACAAAGGATATTCTATAAATATGAGTAGTGTTTCTATTATTATAGTTAAAATTTAAATTACTTGGCTTCATTATGGTTGAACTCCGGATCATTAGAAGAATATCCTTTCTCTAAAACGAGAGTTAAGCAATTTTTTTTTTGAGAAAGCACCAAGACAGTCTTAAATTTATATCTTCTACATATGAAGTAAAAATCTTATTGAATAAAAAAAGTCATTTTCCATTAACTCCCCAATGGTTTACCTATTCATATCTAATATTTTAAAATGAAATAAAGAACCTAGATGTTTACATGATTGATACATTACAACTTATTTTCCATTTTCTCCGAAACTTAGTTTTCAATTATCGGAAATTCACTTTGATTCAAGGAAAAAAGGGAACAATGGACAGAACAATTCTTCTTGCTAATAAATACCTCTCATGTCATGGACAGGAACAAAATGGCACACGAAATAAAATGATGAATAATCTTGCCCTTTACAGTTTTACGGTACAGATCAACTCATACCAAAAAAAGAGAAAGGAGTTTCCAATTTTAATTGATTGAAAACTAAATTTCAATTTCTCTTTCAAAAAGAAACCATTAAATTAAGAAAAAACGAACCTGTCACTTTAAAAATAGAGAGATATTGAAAATGGAGTTGCTATCCACCTAAAATCATAAAAGAATAAATCAGCATCATACACTTTTTTTAACTACAAAATTAACTTATTCTTTTATCTTTTATAATCATTATTACATAGATGAATGAATAATAATATAATTTATACTATTAAAATTATAAATTTCTCTTGCATATATTTTTTTCAATCTGTTTTTTTTTTTTATAAATATTTTTATAAAAACTATTAATTTATAAATACAAAAAATTTGTTGACACTAATACATAAATATTTATAAATAAAGACTTTTATGAAAAAAATATACCGTCAAAAATTAAATTTTAAACTAATAATTTACATCTATATATAACTCAACTATCACATAGTATAAACTTATTTAACTAAACTAACACATACAGCTTAAGTACTTCACCTTATTTCCCTATCTATCACTACAATTAATATTTCACCTTTATCTTTTAAAATACATTTTTATTAACTATTTATATATAGGATATGTTTTTTTATTAAAAATTTCAAATGTGAGGTGCAATAAAAATATGTTAGGTAGGAAAAAAAGTTAATGTGTTCACATAGATATTAAAAAAAAGAAGCAAGAATAGAGTTTTTTTATTAACCAAGGCATGATTTGTGTACCTATTATGAACCTTTAAATTAAAGGTAAAAATGAATGATCACACATATTGAATAATACTAGTAGAATAGTCATTAAATAAATGAGTACCACACACATTTATATGATAAAGAGTTTCAATTAATGGTGTGGAAAAATTGACAATTGTTTTTCATGACATTCCGTTTACTCTTTTAACAAGTATGTAACTAGTCTTTTTCTTTTTTCTATTTTACTTTCCCCCTGAAACTCAAACTCACTCATTTGTCCCCACTTGATATTTCATTTTCATCACTCAACCTAAAAACGTTACATAAACCACCCTAATTTCACTTCTAACTACACCAAAATTCTACCTCTCTTTCTCTTTAGGTAACTAAGAATTTAGGAATTGTGTTTTGAGGATTTCAATGATTTCTTCTTGAATAAGTTATTGTTGTTGTGTTGAGGATTATTCGTGTTATTGTTATACTTTGAATTCATGTTTATTTGATTTTTACTTTTGTTTTTCTTTATGATTTTTGGATGTAAATTGAGTATTTCTCTTACAACTGCGAAGACTAATCTGTTGAGGTAAAATTCTTGTCAAGAGTTTTGAATTTGTGATGCTTCTGATGACATATTTTCCATGCAGGGAAGGAAAGCCAGTTTTCAACATGGCTTCTGCAACTAAGGGTGAGGGGAAGATTGCACTTGATCTTGCATCATGGATGTTCAATGTAGTCACATCTGTAGGAATAATCCTTGTCAACAAAGCACTCATGGCTACACATGGTTTCACTTTTGGTACACTCATAATTCATTTGCTTTTTTCCAATTTCCTTCTCCTTGCATAGGCATTAAATGAAGTGTTTTTGAATAACTTATTTTTATGATCTTAGTTTTGTGATCAGAGTCGTCCCAAACTTTTGAGAGACATTGTGTAAAAAGCTGTAGTTAAGGTCAACTCAGTCGTAATTTTTTAAAGGGGTTTTACTTAACAATAAATTAATCGTGGATACCCTTTTTGCCATAGTTTAATCATGAAAAATTGTGAGACTCTCCTATGCTTTAGACCACCTTGCACATCCTCAAAGATAACCCTTGATTGATAAATATTATTGTTTATTGCTTAAATTTATCTCCCTAATACAAAGTTAATAACTAATAATAGCACTGCATGATTATTGATTAAAATATCTTCAAAGAGTATGTAATTTATGATTTTTCTGATGTAATTGAGTTCTCACATAGCATATTGGTGTGTTTGAAACTATCTGTGTCTAAATCGGACTACACTAACCAAATAATTGAGCTAAAGTGGTTAATAAACTTCAATTAATAATGAATCGTTCAGAAGAACCTAAGTTCGAATCCTAGCTTAATCTTAGGATTTGATTCTGATTCTAACTCATATCATATACTGTTATCGATGCAGCTACAACGTTAACTGGTCTGCATTTTGCAACAACAACCTTGTTAACAACTTTTCTTAAGTGGAACGGATACATCCAAGAAACTCATCTTCCTTTGCCTGATGTTATCAAATATGTCTTGTTTGCAAATTTCTCTATTGTCGGAATGAACGTTAGTTTAATGTGGAACTCTGTTGGTTTCTATCAGGTAGCTTTTGTAAAAGTATCATCACAGTTTAAATTTATATCTCCATTTATTCTGTTTCTTAACTTTGTGTGATGAAAATTTCAGATTGCTAAGCTGAGTATGATTCCAGTATCTTGTTTCCTTGAAATTGTCTTGGACAATGTGAGATATTCAAGAGATACAAAGCTTAGCATTTCTCTTGTTCTCCTAGGAGTTGCTGTTTGTACTGTCACTGATGTGAGTGTCAATGCTAAGGGTTTCATTTCTGCTGTAGTGGCAGTTTGGAGCACTGCACTGCAACAATATGTAAGTAACATATGTTCGTTAGCTTATTCTAGTTCACGGCTGTCATAAGTTTTCAGAGACCCTGTGTTGGTTAGTCATATTTGTTTTCAGAGACTTTGTGTTGGTTAGTCATATTTTAACACGCGCAAAACAAAGTCCTATTTTGCCTCGGTTTATGAGTGACATTTATTTTACGAGGTTCTATATAGTCACAGTTTAACCGTGTTAAATTTTAGGGCCTGTGTGGTAACCCGTCTTGCACGCTCTTAAAGACGGCCCTATTATAGTTCTTACTCTACTGTTTTATCAGTGTCGTGATCAATGATTTTCTGATCTGACATTTTACTTTTATGCTGTGAAGTATGTGCATTTTCTGCAGAAGAAGTATTCTCTTGGATCTTTCAATTTGTTAGGCCATACAGCACCAATACAGGCATCAAGTTTACTACTAGTTGGCCCGTTTCTCGACTATTGGTTAACAAATAAACGAGTTGATGCATACAACTACGGTTTAACATCCATTGTATGTCTCACTTTCTCCCAGTTGCTTAATTAACAAATACATCTCTGAAATATCTAAAAAATGATCTATCAATGTTTGTCTGCAGTTGTTCATTGCTCTGTCGTGCACAATCGCGGTTGGAACAAACCTAAGTCAGTTCATATGCATTGGAAGGTTCACAGCAGTATCATTCCAAGTCCTAGGTCATATGAAGACTATTTTGGTCCTAACATTAGGATTCATTCTATTTGGAAAAGAGGGTCTCAATCTACAAGTTGTTGTAGGCATGATCATTGCTATACTAGGAATGATTTGGTATGGCAATGCATCTTCGAAGCCGGGAGGAAAAGAGTCTCGAAGCGACTTGTCCATTCCTATTCCTACCACAAAAACACAAGATTATAAATTACTACCAGTAGTATCTGATGAAACTAATGATGTAGAAGTGTAGAACTATGTGGATATATGAAGGGATGTGAAACTTGTGTTCAAGTACATTGGAAAATCAGGTGCACATTGGGGCAACTGATTCATTATCTTTATATGATGTAAAAGGTATTGCTCAATTATTTCCATATACATAGTCCATATATCTTTGTTATTTTTTCTCAAGTATTACTCAAAGTTTTATCTACATCTATTTTTTCCATTCATATGATAACTGAATTCAAAGAAATAAGAGACATTTAGCATTTGGTTTATTCATCTTGGTTATTCTTTTGTTATTAGGAAAAATGACAATTTCTTACACATAAAACAAATTTAAAGGGGAAAAGAATTTTAACTTACAAATTGGACACATATCCTAGATAATGGGATTTAAAGTTGTAATTCGTCTTGGATTGGATCCCACATGGATCCCCAGAAACTTGAAAAAAATCTGACCGATATAGGAACATAAAAATCTAGAAAGAACTAAGATAACCTCTTTGCAAAGGTAACTTTTAATCCCAAAATTAACTCAAAAATTTTCATAATTGGTTTAATACTAAATATTGTCCAATAATTTTTTGGATTTCTTAACCATCTCATAATTTTCTAGCGCACCACGAGAAAATACTAAAATGTCCTTGAAAACTGGAAATGTATTTCCGAAACACACCCAAATGTGATAAAGCATATGATATTTTCGGAGTTATATTTCTGTTTGATACCGCAGTTGCATTTCCAGAATTTTGCTACACAAAAACCAAAAAATAAAGAATTCAAATACACCAAATTCACAAACTAAAAATACCATAATTCAAACATTGATATCATAACATAAGCAATACATTAAGGATTTTAACATAATTCAAACATTACACTTCAACGTTCAGGTGGGCGTTGCAACATCTTGATAATATCGTCGAGCGATCTCGAAATAGTCGCATCCAGCTCGATCGAAACTTTTGCTTCTAAACAAAAAAAGTTCTCCACATAGTCCGTAAATCAGCGCTTGTCTTTAACTCATGGTTGATGAAATCAAGCTTCTCTTCATTGTCAATGGATGGCGAGCGGTACTCGATCTTCACAATTTTTTCGATTGTCGCCGTATGGTAGAAGCTCCTGCAATGTGTATTGCAGATCTTCAAGAGTGGTGTACTCGGTTATCTTAAATTCTCTGGTGGTGTATTGTTGGTAAGGTGAATATTTCCAACATGCCAAATGATGTTCATTATGGTTTTTTGTGTTTTGGTATGAAACAACACGGGGAATGAAGTTATTTATAATAATGGGAGGATATTATGGACTACATAAACTCTATCTACTTACCGGGTTTATGTATTTCCGGTTCCACCATTAGTTAAATCAGAGATGCATTTCCGCTAACTTCCCTGATATCAAAAAACAAAAAGAGAAGCAGGAAAAAACAGTAGAGAGACGTAATAACAAAATGTTTGCATTCCACAATATAATACATTAACAAAATATCATATAAAATAATATGATAGATAATTACTTAAATGACCTGAAATAATTATCGTCCGTCAAATCTACAGGTGGAATCCCCATTGACTTTGCTCTATTTTTTCTATTTCAATATTGTTTAATTTGGTGTACTCTTGCATCCTTTCAATAAATTGATCCGACCAAGTCTCAGATTGAATTGTATAATGATTCGCCTACTCCGGTGATGTAAGTGGTATAGGGCATCCCAATTTCAAATGCACTTGAACAAAATGTCGCGGTTTTGAAAGCCATCCAACACAGATGATACAATCATTGGGATTTGGTGGTGGAGCAGTGCGTAGTGGGTAAAAAATTTAAGAGAAATCGTATCTTGTAAGATTAATACACACTCTCATACACACTTGTTGTCAGATGACTCATCACAGGGAAGCACATTCATTTTTTCTCATGTACAAATCCACTGATGCAAGGTACTAGCGCGTGACAAATCTCTTCAACTTTTTCTTTAATCCCAAGCACCCGTGTGTATAATTCTCTATTTCTCCTTAACTCTCTGATAAAAGTATCACAGACAAGTCGATGATCTTCTTCCCCTTTATCCAACAAACCAAAAACAACCCGAAAACCACAATTTGCGTCACCACTGATATTGATGATCCATTCAATGTATTTTTGCATAAAAACATACATCTCCTCGATGAATGACATTTTTGGTGGAGGAATATTATGAGGTGGATTGCTAATGTGGACTCCTTTGAAAACACTTTTATGAGATTTCATAGTCGGTGAGTCGGGAATTACCTTGTTAACATGTTCAAAATATAAATGATTCATCATCATTAAACTTTCACTCGGTGTAGGTTTGACCTTTTTAGGTGCTCCTTTTGTTTTTACCGATTGAATTGGTGGTTTAAAGTTGGTGGTTTTCGAAAATACAATCTTCCTCAATTGCTCTTTAATGTGGAGTTTTGTATTGTCATCTAATTTCAAAAATCTTTCTTGTATTGCTTCCCATTCCGTCAAGATTGATATATTCGATTTACCGTCCTTTATAACACCGACATCATCAAAACTAAGCCTCTTCCAATGACTACAAACCTCTCCATTCATATAGGGCAATCAATTTTCACCTTCTTAGATATGACACAAGCACATGGTAGATCATATATTTTCACAAGTGTGCAACCACCCTTTGAGATTTCGGAACCGGAATTTGAAGCTCGTTTGGCTTCGTGAAAACTGTAATTCAAAGTAGGTCGAGATATGTTGATGACCAACTGAGAATATAAAGTGTTGTCTTTGAACCTGTGTTCCAACACTGATACTACGACCAAATGACGTTTAAATTTCATTATGCTGATTTAGTATCATTTGTTTCACTGATTCCCAATTCGCACCCAACTCACCCTTGTTATTTCCCAACCAATTCTCCAGACAAGCATGGGCCGACTCAACTCGGTTTGTTGTTGTATTTCAAAGGTGCATAATCTGATCGGTCCAAGCACAAACAATTTTCTCCTTTTCCTGGTCTTAAATTATGCTTTTAACATATTTCAGTAAATTGAGATATTTCACACACACCTTCCTGAAATGTATAACTGCATCAACATATAGATCTTTTGTAGATGCATTTGTTATAACATTCTATGCATCAATAATTTTCTCAACAATAACGACCGCCTTTACCATTTTACCATCTTCGGTCTCTATCTGCTTCGTCCCTACCACGAGTTTAACTCGACTTATCACATTCTTAGTAATGTGATATCTATAAAGTAATGTATAAGAGGTCTGAAATAACGTTGCAACTGAATTCATCAATGCGGTATCACGGTCGATAACAATGACTTTCGACATATCTTCTTAGTCCTTTAACATTGACCGACAAACCTCTAAAGCCCATGCAATATTGTCCTCTTTTTTGCACTTTAGGAATGCAAAACCAATAGAGTATGTCTTCTCAGTCGACCTAACACCAACAATTTCCAACAATAACAACTTGTATTTGTTGGTCTTATATGTTAAATCAATTATAAGCACGATAGGAAATGTATTTAATAATTTAATGGAATCAAGATGAGTCCAATATATATACCTCTTACTGTTACTTCATCCTCACATCTTCGGTACCTAGAAACGTAATTCATATCATCTAGAAGTTTCAAGAGGTGTTGCGTTTCAGTTTAATTCCCCCATAAGCGCTAATTTGGATTAATAGTGCCTATTGTACACTTGTTTGGTATTTGAGATACTCTCGGGTCTTTTGCGCTTCAAAGTTGAAAATATGTTTTTGGGAGGTACCGAATTTATTGTCATGTTGGATACACATTCCTTCTCTTCCGGCAAGAGCCGACATGCAATTGGATGACCGGGTAAATTTTCACATAAATTATGATTGTGTAAACCACATATCACATTAAATCTCCATTTATTATTTGCCAACCGATAACCATGCAACTTAAATGGATATTCACATTTTCTTGAGTCGATGTCATCTCGTATCAAATTCTAGATACGAGGTATATATTTCCCACTTCTTTTGAATATCAAAGTCACAAATTAATTTCTTCTATTCGAATCATTATCAGGCCTTCCAATCTCAACACCAAACCCTGATTTGGTGGCCTTTGTATGAATCCACTACAATATGTCATCACGTAATTCAAGCTCTTCTTCATTTTGAAAATGGTTCCGAATATCTACCACCTTAGTTACGATAGGTGAATCAACTTGAAACATATTAGGTTTGGGAGTGGCATCGGGATGCACCATACTTAATATGATAAAAAATATTAAATTAATTAGCATACACATCAAGGAATAGGTCTATGAAAATAAGCACAGACAGAAACCAAAAATACATTTCCGGTGAAGTTCAACTGACAACCGGGAGTTTAACTCTGGTATTCCCGTAAGCTTTTTTCAATTGAAAACCAGATTAATATGAAGAATGATGATTGAAATGAATAAACTTTACCTTAAATTCCACTTCTTTGAGCTTATTTTGATATGATGAACCACAAGAATGAAGATTTAGAGTGAAAAACTTGATTGAGAATGGAAGGGTTTTTGGAGAGGGTTTATGGAAAGTTTATGAAATGAAAGTGATCATTCTTGTCCAAGATGGTTACTATTTTAAGCAATATGACTTTTGAATTTCCCAAATATATATATATATATATATATATATATATATATATATATATATATATATATATATATATATATATATATATATATATATATATATATATATATATATATATATATATATATATATATATATATATATATATATATATATATATATATATATATATATATATATATATATATATATATATATATATATATATATATATATATATATATATATATATATATATATATATATATATATATATATATATATATATATATATATATCTGATTTTAAATAAAATACTAAGGTGGCAAAATTTTCAATCTTCCCACACTTATTAACCGGAAATGCAAACCTAGTTTCAACCGAAAATATATCGTCAGTTTTGTTTTATCTTTACAATATGGTGGAACCAC